CTTCAATCTCAGATCTCCTTCACATTAACACCCCCACCCACTCCCTACGATCCTCCCACACCTTCCTGCTCTCCGTTCCCTCGGCCAGTCTTCACAATGGGGAACCAGGCATTTAGTCGCTATGATCCCCACCTCCGGAACTCCCTCCCTCCTGATCTCCGTACTCTGGACTCCTTCCCTCTTTTCAAATCCAGACTCAAAACTCTCTTGTTCAGACAGTCTTATCCCATCTAGTCCATATGCATCACTCCAATGTTGTTTTCTTCCTTTGGCTTTATTTTACTTCCTGCTGTTTTGTTTTCTGTGGCACCTTTATGCTTGTACTTTATGCTTGTATTTTTTTTACTTTTTCAGCTTCCTGTTTTTAATGTTTTATCTGCCTGTACAGTGTCCATAGTCTCCCCTGCTTTTAACTTCATTTCCTCAATTCACACTGAAGACTTTACTGCTCCTGAACACATTAAACAATCCAAACAATCAAACAAATGAATTCATCTCGAACTGAAGAATCTAGATGATAAATGATGTCTAATGATTGTTTACAGGCTGTTAAGCCCGGTTGTTGTATTGAAAACAGTCTGCCTGTAGATCTTTTGAGGTCCTTTCTGACGGTGCAGTCGATCACTAAAACTTTAGATCATGAGAAAAGCTTTGTGTCTCACCTTAAAGCAACCAAACCTTCAAAGCAACTATCTCTTCCAGTGATCAGGCTCCAGTTAACCTGATGCTGTCATGATCTGGCCTGTTTGCTCTCCCTTAATTAGTAATTCCACTCACCTGCTGCTTTCCCTCCCTGCCTCAATCATAATTTATTCATCTCACCTGTTTCCTCTAGTTTATATTCAGTTCAGCCTGAGCATTCAGTGCCAGATCATTGCTTGGCTTTCTGTCAGTCTTTCTGTTCAGTTTTTATTTGGTTCATGTCCTGGATCCTAGCTGCCAGTGGAAAGAGGGTTTTAGTGTTTGTCTCGTCTCCTGATTGTCCACTGTTCCTCCCCCGCGGAGTCCTCTGGGTTTTTTTTGATCATTATGGGGGGAGGTTGAGTTTTTATCAAAGTAAGCCTGGCTCCAGGGAGGAGACCAGTTTAAAGTCCTGCTTCAAGTTCCGGTTCCTACGTCCTGTCTCGGCTACCCTCTTCCACTGAGCCTGCCTGTCTGCACCTGATCCTGTCTGCTCCTGTGCGTTACCACCTGGTCATGCTTCTGGTCCCAGTCAGACTCTGAACCCTCCTGGGAGCCTGTGGATGCCTGGAAGTCTGGATCCTGCCACCTGTTTCTGCTCCTGCCTGATCTGGATCCTGCCTGTTCTTGTCTGTTCTGGATCCCTCACCAGGATCAGCTTCCAGCATAACCTCTGGGATTGCAGCACTGGGGACACTCATGGTCTGGACTGTTAAACCAGGTAAGTGACCAACTCAGATAATCATATATCAGTTTATCATGGTCACTTACCCGTGTTTCCTCCCTAGAGTGTCTGAGATTGGGCGGGCCCCGCCCCCCCGCCTGCAGTGTCCGCGAGCCACAGCTCCGGTTTTGTTTTGTTTTTTATTTTAATAAACCTCTTGAACTTTCTTACTGACTGTCTCTCCTGAATACTGGGTCCATCTGTCCTCGTTTCATGACAGATGCTGCTGAAGGCTGTGAGAACATGGAGGAACTATGAACTATTCAACACCTCGGTTCACCTGAATGTGGTTTATGGACTTTTTTTTGCCTCTCTCAAGTAATTAGATTACTAGAATCTTTCTCAAAAGTCTCAGAATACCCTATAAATTGGTCTATATCTATAATACTACCAATTAATTGCTCTTTAAAGAATCCCTCAGGTCTACAATTGCAAGCAGGAAATATAAAATATTTGGGAATTACTGTGTCATCTAAATTAGCTGATTTATCAAAACTCAACCACATCCCTCTTTTAAATAAGATGGAAGAGGACATAGAAAGATGGAAATCGCTTCCGATCTCCCTTATAGGTAGGATAGCCTCAATTAAAATGATGGTCTTACCTAGAATTAACTACCTATTTTCAATAATCCCAAATAAACCATCACCCGACTGGGTTAAATCTCTAGATTCTTCCATCTCCAAATTTCTTTGGAAGGATAAACCCCCTTGTATCAGCTTAAAGACACTTCAGAAAACTAAAGACAGAGGGGGACTAGATTTACCTAACTTCCAAAACTACTACTTAGCAAAGAGACTACCATATATCTCTAAATGGATTAAACATAATCCATTACATGAACCCTGGATAGACACAGAACAGGAAATATGCAGTAATATCATAATTTCAGATTTGCCGTTTATTAGCTCTAATATCAAGTGGCACTCATTTTTGGGAATTTCTTAAAATGACTAAGTCATCACTTAACCCCGTGCATTCGTACACCCATCTGGAATAACCCTGACATTCTACAAAACAATAGTGTTATAAACATTTCGTACTGGAAGAATAAAGGTATTAACTATCTGGATAATTTATTTGAAGGTACGGAATTTATCACATTTGCTAGATTGAATTTGCAATATGGCATTAACAAAAATAAATTACTAGAATATGAGCTAAATTAAAGCTATAATTAGAAACAAATGTAGGCATATTAATGGAGCTTTACAAAATCCAACTAATATATCAGAGTTCCTAGAGTTAAACCCCCCCAAACTACTGTCTAAATTATACAGGACACTGACTAAACTGGATGATATACAATATCTATTCCTATTACTAAATGGGAGGAGGATTTATCAGTCAGCTTTGAACAACACATCTGGGCTCAGATATGTCTAAGAACTTTTAACATAGAACTAGAAACCCAAATTTACAATTAATACAATACAAAATCCTCCACAGAGTGCACTATACAGGTCAAAGATTATTCAAGATGGGTTTTGCACAATCAAATATCTGTCCACAGTGCATAGGCAATCATCTTGATAAATATATTCACGCGTTATAGTTATGCACGCCGGTTCAGAGGTTCTGGGTACAGGTATGTAAGGACTTATCACTGTGCCTGGGTTGTAAAATCTCACATTCCTCTTCAGTTTGCTTGCTGGGTGACTTTGAGGGAAGCTCTCTGGAAAAAAAATCAGTTTGCATGGCCTTCACTGCATTATGTATCGCAAAGAAAACTATCCTCATGAACTGGAAGAGTCAGGATAAACTCAACATCTGTTGCTGGATCATATTAATCTTGAGACAGCATCTGCATCCCCATCAGACCGATCTCTCTTGGCTCCCTTGATCGAATCCATCACTTAGTGTAGTGGCGGGCTGTGTGGCGACTCCTATGGGGCGCGGGGGCTGGTTCGGGGGTCCTTGGTTCCTGTGCGGCTCGGGGGGTGCTGGCCCCGGGGTCTGTTACCCCCATCGGGGCAGAGCTTGGGACTTCGAGTCTGGGCTTCAAGTCTGTCTCCCTGTCCCAGTCCTGGTCCGTGCCATCCTCTGGTGGGGGCCTCATCCAGGGTGGGGGTTCTTGGGGAGGGGGGTCGTTGCTGGAGGGCCCCACCTTCTGATGACTTCCCCCACCCTAATTTTAGTTTACATTTCAGACACTTCTCTCAACAACATTTTCACAACACACATCTATGTAGGGCATTATCTGAGGGGGTGGGGTCAAGGGCACCCGGGGGGTCTTATTTCATGGGCCTCACCACGGTTGGCTTCCCTCATCCCCTCTCGTATTTAGACATTGAGGGTTCTAGGTGGTTGATTTTGGTACTCCCAGTTTTAATTAAACCTGAGAGCAACACCCAACAACACCACATTCGAGCAGGCGCAGTGAGGATTGGGGTCTTCTCACCTGGTCCTGGTCTGTGGTGTTGGCGAGGGGGCTGTTTCGGGGCCTGGAGCTTTTGCATGGGTTGGTCTGACCCGGGTGCAGAGTGGGGGGCCGGGCTCGAAGCTCCCCTCCCCCCATCCGGATTTTAGGTTCATTTATTGGGTCATCTGATAATCCTGGGACTAACCACCGATTCCGACGGGTCTTTGGTCCTGGTATTATTGGATGTGAGTGTTATGTGTTAATGTGCGTACGCATTTTTTTGTGGTGTGAGTGAGGGCACTAGGGTGGGAAGGCGTGATTGAGAATGAGTTTTTTTTTTCTCTCCCAGGTTGGGGTCTGTACTGCTCCCTCTCCCAAGCACATTTCAACTCTCCCATTCCCCCTGTCCTGCTCTCCCTCTGACGGCTGGGGCCTGGGTTCGCCTGTGCACTGGTGGAGCTCAGGGTTTGGGGGTGGATGCCCGGTCGGCTCCTGGCTCATTCCTGGTGGCTTCTCGGCCTGGCTGGGGTTCCTGCTGGTTGGTGGGGCAACCCTGGGGCCTCAGATTCCTGGGGCCCAGAGTCGGATTAACTTCGGGGTGGCTGGCTGCCGGCGGGGCTGGCGGACTTGTCCCAGCGGCTCCCGCGAACTCTGGCATTGCGGTGGCTGGGGGACTTCCTCTGGGCTGCCTCCTCCCTAGGTGGGGGTAGGATTTCCTGGGCTGGCGCCTTTGCTCTTGGGGTCACTTTGGGCGTCTGGGGCTTTGGGTCTCCCGGCGCTAGACTCAGTGCTCTGGGGGGCGCCTGTTTGGCTCTCCACAACCACTATTGAGCATTTTTCCTTTGAATAAACTTTATATGCACAAGTGCACTCTCAGAAACAACTACAGGTGCTTGGTTCCAGGTACTCAGAGATTCACTTCCATACAGAAAGCCCATATTCTTATCTTCAGGTAACACAGAGTACATGTCCGATTAAATAATACTACTTCAGCTGTTCTTTTTACATTTTACATCTAGTCTCTTGAGTGGGCCAATTCAAAGGCACTTTAGTCAAATCCTCTGTGGGTCTTACCTGTCCACCCTCATGGATGAAGCCCAGGAATGAGATGGAGTGTCTGTGAAATTCACAGTCCTCTGCTTGCACGAATAACGTGTGTTGAAGAACTTGGTGAATATGGCTCTTTTGTTCAGGGAGGTCCCTCGAAAAAATGTAAATCTCATCAAAGCATAGGCGGTTTTAGACAGGGGCCAACAGGGGCCGGTGCCCCTGTAGAACCGGCCCTGGCCCCCGTTATGGCCCCTGCACCGAACCGAATGCGATGACACGGAAACTGGAACTAATATGCCGCAACGTTTCACGCGGAATCTTTAGTGCGGTGCGCGCTAATATTTCTCAACGAGAAAAAGAAAAAAGAAGAATAGCATTTACAGACGAGTCGGACGACTAACGGAAAATGGTGTAAAGAGACGGAGGTAAGCAAGAAATATGATTGTTTGTTGATGCGCTGTTTGGCTCATCTTTGAGTGCTGCTGTCGTTTTTACTGCAATGAAACCTGGCGTCATTGTTTTGCCTAATGCAGTCCATACGGGTTAGGAACTAATAATATTTTCTTTCTTACCAGTGAATTAAATATAAAGTTGCTAGTTTTAAACTTAAGGATTTTTAAGATTCTGTCACAGTTATGCCAATTAGATATTATCCATTACTTTCTTGCAGCACAGGAAACGTCAGTAATCATGAAAAGAAAAAGAGACATTGCCTCATTTTTCACCACTGTTGGCAAGGAAAAATGTAGAGAGAGGGAGGATGAAGATAACAGAGCCGAGGAGCAGGATGAAAGAGAGAAGGAGGAGATGGTTAGTGAGGAAGCTGACAAATCAGAAACAGAAGCATTCAATCCTGAGAGTGAGGAAGACGATGTAGGCTGTGAGGGAGAGAGTGAGGAGAAGAAAGGACAACCAGTGGATCCTCCATCACATTTATCAAGTTCACAGCCATCAGGTATGTGATGTTGAATAAACCTGTGTGACTATGTGTAAAGTGTCTGTAAATTGTATCTGAAACTTTAGAGAGAGAGAGAGATTATTTTTTACTATTCTAAGAGCAAAAATCTTTCTCATTGGCAGATAATATTATTTACCTGTTCAAATCAAGGACAAATACAATAATTTCAAACAATTACTTAATTTTAGTCATCTTTTTTCAGTATGATCTTAATGTATTATAATGAATAAATATATACAATTACAAGCGAATAAATCCACTAATGCTCTCGGTTACACCCTCATGTTTTCATTCATTTCTTTTCAGATATCAGTAAGTGCAAGGATGATCAACCAGTGCAGCCTAATTTAAAGATGTTTCCAACCACAGTTATGGCGGACAGAAGACGCAGCTTCCAGGCAAGCTGGTATGAAAGTCATCCTTGGGTGGAATATTCTGCAATTATGGATTCTGCATATTGCTATGCCTGCAGACATTTCAGCCCACCAAATATTTCTGGCAGTGTGTTTGACTCACCATCAGGCTTTAGGAATTGGAAAAAAGCAACTGCAAGAGAGGGAGGGTTTTCAGTACATGCAAAATCTGACAGACATAAGCAAGCAATGATAGCATGGAAGGACTACCAAAGGGCTGTGAAAGCTAATACAACATTGGAAAATATCCTTAACCAGGAACACAGTAAACAAGTAAAAGAAAACCGTGAGTATATTAAAACAATCGGGGAAGTAATATTGCTCACAGCTAGACAAAACATAGCACAGAGAGGACATGATGAGTCTGAGGAATCAACTAACAGAGGAAATTTCAGGGAAATTCTTGAAACAGTTGCAAATCACGATGCAGCTGTTAAACACAGACTAACATCCATTCACAACGCAAAGTACACAAGCAAGACGATTCAGAATGAGGTTCTGAATTGTTTAGCAGAAATGGTCCGTTCTGAAATAATTGAAGAAGTAAAAAGCAGTCAGTTCTTCAGCATCATGGCAGATGAGACTAAGGATGTCTCAAAACAGGAGCAGATTTCATTTGTACTCAGGTACTATTATAATGGAACAGTCAAGGAGAGTTTTCTTCATTTTGAATCTGCTGAAAGACTAGATGCAGTGGGGCTCACTGAAAAGATAGTCCGCTTATTGGAACACCATGGCCTAGACTACAAAAACAACCTTATAGGCCAGGCATATGATGGAGCTGCTGTGATGAGTGGTAAGCATTCAGGGGTCCAGGCGAGAATCAGAGAGCAAGCCAAATTTGCATTTTACATCCACTGCAGTGCTCACTGCCTTAATTTAGTGCTAGTTGATTCTGTCAAAGCAGTACCAGAAGCAGAGGAATTCTTTGCGTTGTTGCAGAGTATTTATGTTTTCACTTCTGGCTCATATGTGCATGCCAAATGGCTGGCTGTACAAACTGAAATGTATGGCAGCACAAGAGAGCTCCAAAAATTAAGTGACACACGATGGGCTTGTCGGTTCATCGCCCTACGTAACATAATGGACAGATTACCTGCCCTAAAACGTGTCCTACAAGAGATGGCACTAGAGCACAGGGGAGAAAAGTCTTCTGAGGCCCGTGGTCTTCTGGCCCAGATTGACCTAGAGTTTGTTGTGCATCTAGTTACGCTTCGTAAGTTGTTTGGGGAAACCAAGCTTCTTTCAGATATGCTGCAGTCATCAACTGTTGACCTCTCAAGAGCAGCAGATTTAGTGGAAGGTTTGGTTCAGACTTTGACAGATTTCAGGCAACAGTCCTTCTTTGACAACCTGTGGGGTGAAGTATTAACCATCTGTGAGCAGTGTGATGCTGCCACCCAGTCGTTGGCAAAACGACAAAGAACAAAAAGTTCCAAACTCCGTGAGTACTACGTACTAAGTTCTGTTGGTCAGAGGGAGCAAGTCTGTGATAAAGAAACTTATCGGTCCTCTTTCTTTTATCCTGTCATTGACTGCATGCTTAGTGAACTAAGCAGACGTTTTTCAAAGACCAACCGTGAGCTGATGAGTTGTATCCAATCTCTTAACCCCAAGAGTGATGCATTTTTAAAAGACACAACTCTGTTTGAATTTGGCCGTCTTTATGATGCCAATATTGAGGATCTGGGACCAGAACTCCATCAGTTCAGGAGACTTTTAGAGAGAAAACTAAAGAGTCATGAGATTGGAAACCCTTCTAATACAGTGGAGTTGATCCGTTTCATTGAGCCATACAAAGACGTATTCTGCTAGCTTTTTAGACTGTGCAAAATTGCTGTTGCACTCCCAGTGAGTTCTGCCACCTGTGAGAGAAGTTTTTCCAAACTAAAATTAGTGAAAACCTACCTCAGGTCCACTATTACTGATGAACGTCTCAGCAGTTTAGGGATGCTAAGCATTGAATCCAGAAGGGCAAAGGCTTTGGATCTTGATGCATTTGTGGACTATTTTGCACGAAACCACAAACGCAGAATACTATTATTGTAATGTTTCAGGATTTGGTATTGCCAGTGCACGTGCATGCAAGATTACTGAAATTAAAATTTGACTGTTAGTCTCCTAAATGTTAGTGTACAGGTTTGTGAAGGTTTATTGTTCTCATGTGTTGTATTTGAAATATTTTGAATAGAAATTTTTGTTTCATTGGTGCTCTAAATAAACAATAAAGTTGTTTAAAAAAAGATCGTCATTTTTTTTCCCCATTCTTCTTTCTGTGCCCCTGTGAAAAAACAATGGCCCCACCTTGGCCCCCCTGGAAATGTTTTCCTAGAACCGCCCCTGCATCAAAGTGAACAAAAACATTAAGGAATTCTCTTAAAGCGACTTTGACGAAAGCCTGGAAAACAGCTGAGGAGTTAGATAGGTCCAACGGCATCTCCAAACAATCAAAAAAATCTAAGCAAGGACCCAAAGGCTGTTTTCCACTCATCTCCCTCCCCTTTACAGAGATGGTGATAGGTGTCTCCTAACCTTAACTTGGTGAAAACAGTTGCTCCTTTGGACTCAAAGGCAGAAACATAGGGTCCATGGGGAGGCTTTGACAAAGCCTTAGTTCAGCTGAATACCTGAGCCAAATCTCGATAATCTTAGCGGGGACTGAGGAATGATCAGGAGGGTCAGCCTCATGAGTCTCTGCCGGTTGGCCACCTGGCGGCACAGCAGAGAAGTGGCAGTTATCAGACCATGAAGAGATGCGTTTACTGGACCAACAGATAACAGGACTGTGTAACTGTAACCACTCATACCCTAGGATTATAGCGGGGCCAGCAGTGGAACAGACGTAAAAAGAAACAAACTCAGAGTGATTGCCTGAAACGGTTAGCTGTATGGGTAGGGTCTGATGTTTGATCTGTGGCAGACTCCTGCCATCAAGGGCAGAAACACGCAGAGGGACATGAAGAGGAACGATCCCAAACCCCATCTGCTGCACAAAAGAATGATCCATAAGATTTTGCTCACAGCGGGAGTCCAGCAAGGCTAAAAGGGAAAGGGACTGACCATTCACTAGCATCGAAGCAGGCAACAAAAATCAAGGAGAATTAATGATAAACCCTGGGTCCGTCCGCACCCTCGTTTTTACTGGTGCGCCCCAACAGCACAGGACAGGCAGAAGCGAAATGCCCAGCCTCACCACAGTAGAGACAAAGCTTAGATTTCATTCTTTGCCTCTTCTGCTCGGGAGTACACCTAGTGTAGCCAACCAGCATGGGTTCTGGGCTGGAAAGGCTTGGAGAGGACTGTGGGACAAGAGAGTGGGTGTGATCTGGGTTGAGGATCTCTATCCTTCATTTCTTTTGCTCGATTTCGAATACGGTTATCTAGTCGGATAGTTTAATTAAATCCTCCAAGGTTTTGGGTTCATCTAAAGTGGCCAGCTTGTCCTTGACGGAATCATTTAAAGCATTAGAACATACAAACTTAAGAGCTACACTGTTCCATCCAGAAGCCGCAGCTAAAATGCGGAAGTCTATGGAGAAATCTGCTACGGATCTAGGTCCTTGTCTAAGGTTCAATAATTCTCTAGAGCAAAGAGTCTTATCAGTATCCTGGTTGAATACCTGCTTAAACTCAAATAAAAATTGTAGTCAGGGGATGAAGAGAACCTAGCCTCTGCCCAGTCCAAAGCATGATCTGACAAATGAGCTATAACGTAGGAGATCTTAGTGGAGTCCAAAACAAACTTAGGGGGCAGGTGATTAAACTGGATAGTGCATTGCAAAAGAACCCCCCCCCCCCCCCACCCCCCCCCCCCCCCCCCCCCGCCATATCCTAGGGTCCCCATCAAACCTGGGTGGATTGGGCAGCAGGAAATCATGGAATTAACAGGAAGCGCTGCAGCCTCGCCGACCAGACCGGAGCCTGTAGAGAGTGGAATTTGTCAGATAAGTTTGTTCTGGGTCTGTAAAGCTCCGCTTGTTTACTCAGTTCGAAGAGGTGGTTGTGATGTTTCTGGATGACAGATTGTTGGAGTTGGAGTGCTCTCTGACTGGCTTCTGCAGTGGATTCGGTTTGGCCAGAGTGTTCTGTCATGATGGGATCCTAAAAGGTTGTCCACATGCAGAACACCACTCAGAGGCAGGGTTTCAGTCAACCAGTTTATTGAGAGAATGCAAATCAGTGAGACAAAATATGAAAATTTAGAGAGGCTAAACTAAAGGGGATTCTCAGCAGGGATATGTCATGATTTTACAAAGTTCAGACCCAAATGCAGAAAACTGAAATGAGAGACCAGGGAAAAGGTTTAACAGGTTTTATTGAAGAGGTTAAACAGAGGGAGTAGTGTTGCTCTGAACACTGCTCAACCGGAACTGAAAAGTGAGGGAAAGACCCAGTGGTTAGTTCAGGCTCAGTGGGGAATTTGACTCGTGAACTTGGAGAAGAGGATTTGGTTGCTGACTCACATTTCCAGAGAAGTTGTTGAATCCTTGACTCCTGTCTGTGTGCCATGGTTCCAGTGTTTGTCTGATTCGGTGGAGGGCGGAACAGAGTTTACCCAGAATGCGGTTGTTAATTGGTGAACGGAGAAACTGACTGCCACTCAGATTTCCTGCGGTACTTGAACGGGTCGTAGTGGAGAATAATCCCTTTCTCAGTGCGAAGCTCAAACGATCTCTTGGGGAAAGTGGATCCAAATCTCCTGTTTGAACCCCAGCTCAGTTTGAAGCTCAGTTGATCCTTCCAGGGAGAGAAGGTCAGAGAAATCCAGTTTGCAGGATGACTTCCTGCCGAGAGGCAAAGACAAAAAACAAAGTTAAACTCAGGTTGACAAAAAAACTCAGTTTGACTCAGCAAAACTCAGCTTGGCTAGAGTACCCAAAACTGGCAAACACTCTGGCGTCGAGGTAGTAGCAGTCAGCAGCTTAAGAACACTTGAATTAATGAGGAAACCATCAGCAGGTGTGTGAGGAGGCGGACAAGAACCAGACGCCTCCTGGTGGATGACGGGAGACAAACACAGAAACACAAACACAAAGACAGGAGTCCTGACAGGATAAGACTTACAAATGAGGTCTTTAGAGCCACCTCACTGGGTGATCTCAACTAGAGGGGAAAGACAACTAAGGGGGTTCTCGAAGTGACTAAACATATGGGGATTCTCAGCAGGGGAAAGATCCAGTGGTCTGGTGAACTGGAACCAGAAAAAACTAGAGGGGAGATCACAATGATGATTTCATGGATTGTAGGGAAAATTATTCTTGGCTGATGAGTTGTTTTGAGTTGACTAACGTAAAGGGGTTCTTGGTTGATCCTGGGGTCCATTTTGTGGGGGTTGTTAGAGTTATTGAATGACAATTATAAAATTAATATGGGTGCATATGAAACATTAGAAGAAATTAAAACCGCGAGCGGTATTGACGGCCCTCGCAGCTCGCACCGCCTGGTATGTCGCGACCGCGGGAACCAAGCGACCGCTGGCTCCACGCTCCTTCCCAGCCTATTCTCCTGCTCTTCAGCCTATGCCTGCTGCTGCTTCCCCTCATCCTCTTCATCACCCTGTGCTGCTCCTCTTCATCCTCCTCTTTCTCCGCTCGGCCTATCGCGACCGCGGGAGGTGAGTGACCGCTGCCCCCTTGCTCCTTCCCAGCCAGCGGAAAAAGTGCCACGCTTCACTTCTGGACCAGCCGGAGACAACCACAGCTTTGGTCAGGAAGGGTTAAACTAGGGATAAAAGATAATATCTGGGGATGAATCTCATCTGTCAGATATTTGCTGTAGCAATCTCAGTTGGTGGGTCAAAAGTATATATTCAAAAGATGGAGAAACAGCACTGCCAAAACCCACGGTTAGCGGTATTACACCCTACTCAAAACAAAAAAAATCATTAAAAAATCCATAGTTTGCAATAAAATCCCCAAAAAAATCACAAATGTCAAGGAACACATCTTGCATGTCCTAGATTCTTTTTTAGGTGATTTATTAAATAATTCAAAGAAAGAAAAATCTTTAAACGTGAATGCCTTATACTGCGGCAGTTGAAAAATATATCCTGGCATTATCTGTCCACTTGACCAACTATTAGGCAAGAACGCAAACGTTTGAAAAATCAGAGTGACAGACTTTAAAGAAGCGCTTTGCTATTGTAACCAGCTTACAGCAGGCTTTGTAAAGAACGTATTTTTGAAAGTTTTAGCTCATTTGGATAAAAGGCTAACTTTATACACTTTTTTGAAAAGAGGTCCGTGATTTCACAACAGGGTGAAATGTAATTCAAAATGGCCGACTCTACTCAAAACAAAAAAATTCATTAAAAATCTATAGTTTGCAATAAAATCCCGAAAAAACTCACAAATGTCAAGGAACACATCTTGCATGTCCTAGATTTTTTTTAGATGATTTATTAAATAATTTAAAGAAAGAAAAATCTTTAAACTTGAATGCCATATACTGTGGCGGATGAAAACCCCATAAGATGCTCAAACATGCATAGATTCACGCCAAACTCGGCAGTCTTTTTTATAATCAAAGGATAAATAACTGTTCCAAATTTGGTTAGGATTGCTATAAAACTTTTTGAGATACAACAATTTCCTGTTAACACAAACTTTTGAAAAATCAGAGTGACGGACTTTTAAGAAGAGCTATGCTGTGTTTACCATCAAACAATTAGCGATTAGAGGAATATATTCCAAAAGTCGTAGCTCATTTGGGAAAACAACTGATTTTTTAGGAATATTTTAACATAGTGATTCTATTTTCATAAGGGTACTGTTTGATTCAAAATGGCCGACTTCATGAGAGGTTTAGACCATGGCTTCAATGAAACTTTTTGTAGGTGGAGAGCTCATACAGATGTGTGCCAAGTTTCATTATCCTAAGAATGAGCATGGCTAGGGGCTGAATTATTTCCTGGCATTATCTGTCCACTTGACCAACTATTAGGCGAGAACGCAAACTTTTGAAAAATCAGAGTGACGGACTTTAAAGAAGCGCTTTGCTATTGTAACCAGCTTACAGCAGGCCTTGTAAAGAACGTATTTTGAAAGTTTTAGCTCATTTGGATAAAAGGCTGATTTTATACAATTTTTTGAAAAAAGGTCAGTGCTTTCACAACAGAGTAAAATGAAATTCAAAATGGCCGACTTCCGGTGGGGTTTAGACCATGGGTCCAAGAGGCTTTTAGTTAGGGCCTGATGAGGTGCAAATGTGTTCAAAGTTTCAATATTCTAGGACTAAAAACGGCTTGGGGCTGGTGGTTTGAAGTTTGTTATTTCTAGGGGGCGCTGTAGGAAAATTAAGCCCCGCCCACAAAATATTGCTCTGGATTCCTGTTTGGAGTTGGACTAGGATCATCTCTTGTGATTTTGGTGCAGATCTGATTATAAATGAGGAAATGAGAGCCAATCGTATTTTCATGGCGAAACGCCTCACTTCGCCATGGCACCACGGCAACACCATTTGACTAAAGCTCTCTGTGCCTTAAACGAAGTTAGGACAACATGTTGTCTGTCTGCTGACACAGTTTTAGGTTGATGAGGTCAAGTAGGACAGAGAGGGACCATTCCAAGTAAAAAAGGTGACTTCTGGTTCTCAGGGGGCGTGGCTTCAATTATGTAACAGTTTTAACATACAGTTTTGTTGGGAACCGAGAGAGGATTAATACTACCAGGTTTCGTGTCATTTCAGTTTCATATGTAAAAGTTATTGCATTTTGAAAATGTTGGCGAGTACGCCAACTTCGAGGCCTGGCCACACCCCTTTAAAATGCTGGAAAACTC